ATTTTCGCATTTTTTTTAGTTTTTTTTTTGTTCCGTGCGGGCGGTATAACACGACCGCACAGGATAATCGATTATCCTGTACGGTCGACCCGCCCGCATGAGAAAATGCCGATTTTCCCAAACACCCGGTTACAGACGGGCCGAACTACCGCACGGGATAATCAAAACGCCCACATAGAAAAATGGGTATTGTAGTAGTGTACTAGCCTCTAACTAGGTCCTGAAGCTTCCTGCATGTCGGTTTATCAAGCCTATAAATAGGAAGCCAGTGTATGCATATCGACTGATGTATTCATCCATCACTTGAGGAAAGCAAAACAAGCAAGCTAGTAGTAAAGAGCTGTCCAATCTTGCATCACATTTGCTCCTCTTCCAGTACTTCCTCTGCTTCAGAACGTGCTGAACAAATATTGCAGCACCAACACGATGGAGCTTGATGTGGATTTGCGGAGAAAGAAGCTGAGGAGAGTTGTCCTCATTAGAGCTGTCCCAACCCATAGTGTCTATAAGTAGTTTCTATGGTGCCATATCAACAAGACATCACAATAGAAACTACACTCTACAACCCATGGTTTTCTTAAAGTGGGCCATTAATAAATATATCATCCCTCTTCTCTACCAATCATATTTATTCTTCATCTATTATGAAGACACTATTCTCTCCCAATGCAAAACTTGATAGTGTCTAGTGCATAGGTTCTCGTGTTAAAGCTGTGTCTTGCATGAGACCCAGTTTCTTCCTCTCTTCACTCTCTCTCTTAATTAATATAGTGCCACATAAGTTAAAAGTTCTACATGGCAATGTAGTTAATACCATAGACACCATACTAGGTGGAGGGTTGGGACTGCCCTTATTGTCTTCATGTCAGCCATCTAGGCTGCTCGTTGGTGGATGTCGGCGGATTCCGTTTCCTGCCCTTGAGAGCAGGTACAATAGCAAGCTATAAGCCAACTAAAATCACATATCGAGAAGAAAATAGAAGAGAGAGAAGAAAGCGGCTATAGATTTGTAGCCGGCTGCAACACAGACTCCAAGACGTTAAGTGTGTATGAGAGGTGGGACCAGGTCTTAATGGTGTAGTATATTTTTATAGTTAACTATTGTATGAATGAGCTATTAGATTTGTCAGGGTTATGGATACCATATACCTAATAGTAGTTGACTAAATCTCGGTAGGATCCACCACATACCATGTCTTATACGGAAACTGACCTCGAGGGAGTTTCGGATAAGGAAAGACAACCAGAGTTCTACATGGAAACGACAAGGACTACTCGGATTGTATCCATATTAGTTTCCCTAGTTCTACTTGGACAAGGGGACACCTATGGGTATAAATACAAGCCCCCCTAGGAGGAGAGGGGAGACGAACAATCGACGTTCAACACGATCAACACGGACAACACAGACGACCACCTCAATCAACACACCTACCACAATATACGGAACAACAGAAGCCAGAACATACAAGCCAACATACTCCAAGACAAGACGCCGGATATCGACTTCAGGGATAGCCATGGCTATTCCCCTACGGTGTCTCCGGATACCGTCAGGAGAGACAAAAGCGCTATCTCTAATCTCGCCGGACACGGATTCGAGGAGGAGGGCTACCCTGTTGTCGACTACAAGTCAGAACTTCAGACCGCCATGTCGACAACAGTTAGATAGGCTATCCCACATATTGTACTGGTGTGATTACGGTGAATAAAAGCAATACCGGCTCCGGCCAACAGGATGTAGGGTTATTACCTGACAATTCAGGGGCCTAAACCTGTATAAAAATCCCTGTCTCCATCTCTTTTACCTCAGTCTCGCGTATATCCTAGCACCAACGATCCCCATACTATCCAAATACCGTAGTCGTGACATCAAACGTCGACAGTGGCGCGCCAGGTAGGGGGATTTTGGTGCTTCAGGATTTCGACGAGATAGGTTCAAGAGATGGACTCTCTGACAACAAGCTACTCGACGATTTCGGCTGTGGAGAGATCGAAATCATCACCATCGACTATTCGATCCGGCGAGATCGACCAAACTTCAAGACGTCGCCACAGCGGAGAATAGTGACTTGATATTATCAACTAGGAGGTCTCCGATCTCCATCTCTTCGGAAGCGACATCATCAATTGATTTTTTGTAACCTCGGTAATGCCGCTGCCTGCTCAGAACACCGGCCATCGAGGAACCAAAATCAACATCTCGATCTATTCACTAGATTCTTTTGGGACTCGGATCGTTCTCACACCCCGATTAGGATCCAAATTTTTGACCCCTGACGCATACTGAGAACATCCATCCCGACATCATGTGTTCCAGGGATTATTGATCACGGATGTCTACCAAGGTATCGAGAGAACAACAAGACAAAGATCCAACTAATATGCTTGCTCCTGACGTGTACACATGCATATGCATGGACTCAGTACGTGCTTAGGCATGCATGCATTAGTTGGCCGACGTGTACCTGCAAAGAAGACCAACATGGCTGTCTAAGTTGCAACGTGTTGACTATTCAGATAAATCAACGGCCGCCCGTGATCAGGAATTTAGTAGATTGATTTTTTAAAAATCGGTCTACTAATTTCGTAGATACATTCGGCATGTATCTACAAAGGTACGCAATATTTTATATGCAATTTATCGTACCTATTTAGATCATACAGCATTATCAGATCTATAATTTATTATGTTTACCTAGAGCATGTTTTTATACAATATCTATTGTGTGAGTGTTTCTGATGTTAAGTCAACTATGGTCTAACGCTGGGGGCTCGCTCTATTTTCTTCTGTATAAATTATGCTCGTTTACGGTTTACATAATGCCTGATACTTACATCTGCTCGTTATATCCTGATAGTACTAGAAGATCCACGCAGTTTTTGAGTACATACTCAATATTCTCTACTATATGTCTTGCCTTCTAGAAAATATTTTTCAGGAACATTTGAGCACTCGAGTAGGTTGTAGTCGAGTACACCCCACTATCGAGAACATTCTCGACAAATGCGGAGTCGTCGCACCCAACTTACCAACGAAGACCGACGACCTATCTCATAGCACCGGCCATCGCTGGACTACTCGAGAAAAGGTTGTTAACGGATAAATCCTCGCGAACGCCGTCGGCTTGATCACCCGACATGATTGCGAACAGACATCCGGTTATACCACGAGTTGGGTGTGTGAGTCATGCTGGCCACATGAGACACACATGTAATAAACCAACTCTAGCACTTCCATTGGTGCTCGAGAGATAATCCTACTCGCTCGCTGGTTCTCGCACCAAGACGTAGCAATCTCTCGCACCGCAACTTCCATTGGTGCTCGAGAGATAATTCTACTCGCTCGCTGGTTCTCACACCAGTACGTAGCAATCTCTCACACCACAACTTCCATTGGTGCTCAAGAGATAATTCTACTCGCTCGCTCGCTGGTTCTCGCACCAAGACGTAGCAATCTCTCGCACCGCAACTTCCATTGGTGCTCGAGAGATAATTCTACTCGCTCACTGGTTCTCACACCAGTACGTAGCAATCTCTCACACCACAACTTCCATTAGTGCTCGAGAGAAAATTCTACTCTCGCTAGTTCTCGAACCAGTACATAGCAATCTCTCGCGCCTTAACTTCAGATGGTCGAGGTACGATTACGGCGGCGTAGCGGTCCTCGCACCATGACTTCAGATGGTTGAGGAACAGCTACGACTGGTCTTCGACCGGCAGCGTAGCGGTCCTCGTGCCACGACTCCAAATGATCGAGAGACACCTACTCACCAGTTCTCGACCAGTTGATCGTAGTGATCTCTCATACATTTGCTTCTAGTGGTCGAGTTACGACTACTGCCTGGTCCTCGACCAGCGATGTAGCGTCTCTCCCACTACTTCAACTTTAAGTGGTCGAGTTACGACTACTGCCTGGTCCTTAACCAGCGATGTAGCGTTTTTCCCACTAGTTCCACTTTAAGTGGTCGAGTTACGACTACTGCCTGGTCCTCGACCAGCGATGTAGCGTCTCTCCCACTACTTCAACTTTAAGTGGTCGAGTTACGACTACTGCCTGATCCTCGACCAGCGATGTAGCGTTTCTCCCACCAGCGGTGTAGCGACTCTCCTACTACATCTATTTCAGCAAAGTTGATAACAGGTACACAATATCTCCAAGTGTTTTACCCAGAGATCACTTACCACGACGACACCTAGCGTTGAAACCTATCCTACTGTCCCTTTACGCCGTCTTGATAAGGCCTCCGAGGAACCTAAGGGATATTCGGCTGGGGACGCCCAGAGCCGATAAGGCCTTGTCAGATCCTGTAGAGACAAAATACCATGTAAGATCTGATCGTGTAAGAGTTCTCGCCGTGCGTATTAACCAAGCCGTGTAATCGGAAACTGAGCTTTCCAACTTCACGGCTGGGGGCTAGGATCAGTGCTTATTCAACCAAGGCAGGTCAAGGGTCCAAGAGCCTTATCCCCTGAGAACAATTCTCCGACGACAAGGTTGGGGGCTAGGGAGAGTGTATGACTCTATAAACTGACTGATCGAAGTCGGTAAGAGAGAAGACGCTCATACACAAAACATTGGTCGGTAAATTTAATTCATTTTCAATTTACCATACATATTATAACATTGTCACCCTTTGAGCGTTCGCTTAGGGGCTATTTCTATTTGATATTCTTTTCTGAGCGTTGATTTCAGGAAAATTCTATTCAACATTGTGGAAGACTCCATGTCCCTATGGTTCTACACCAAGATCGACTAAGACGAGTACGACAAATGTCGACAAAGCTCCGTCGCAGACTCTACGCCTTCTCGATCGCTCGAGAACGGTTGCTGGATCTCGACAAGGAATATGGAATGAAGAAATGGTGTACACCTAGACATATAGCACATAAAAGCTTAGCTAAGAGCAGAGAATAACAGGAGCTACATTATTATAATAAAACAAGGGCATCTGTATAAAGAAAAAAAGTACCATGTCTTGAAGTCTTGATTGTGAGCACGATAATAGAACAAATATATTAGTTGTCATACCTCCAAAGCATCGATAATGAACTGCTTCGAATCTTCATCAACATGTCTCCAGTCATCATGATTGAGAGGGAAACCCTTAGTTCTTACAAGTGTACCAACAACATGTGGAAACTCTTTAGCAGCTTTCCCTACTGGCTGATCAAATTCGTTGAACTCCATCTTGATCAGTGGCTCGTCTTCTTCTCTAAACCATATGTTATCCTTTCTAGTGAATTTTCTTCCTTCTCGTTTCTTTGGTTGTGCTCTGTTGGAATCTGAAATTTGCAAGTCAGTTAATTAGTCAATCAAATATATGAATTGCTCATATTTATAAAAATAAAAGAAAACCATACCCCCATTCTGTTCAGCAGCCACAGGTTGAGGACCTTCATCTTGTCCTTCAGGACCATTAGTACTTCCATTTCTTGGTAGCCTAGGGTGCAGATCACTATGTCCTACATGCTCATTTGTTGTATCAATTCTTGCTAGTCTGGGGCGTAGATTTCGAGGTTCAATTGGCACAGAGCTAATGCATTTTCTCTTCTACAATATCAAAAAACTTGTTAAACCACTATGATTTTGTTAATAGCAATGCATCACAAAAAAAATAAAAACATATCAGCATACCTTGCTAGTTTTCTTAGCTTGCTGTGAAGAGCTAGCTCCTTCAGTCCTTATAGACTTTAGCATAGATTCTAGATTTAGAACTTGTATCCTGCGCTTGTTCTCAGCAACATTTTGATCCCTCCTCCTGCCTCAAAACATCCTCACCAGAAAGAGGAGAAGGTGCTAGTCTAAATTCTGTTGTGCCATCAAATGATTTTGTATCTGATCTAAATCTATGATCAGCATCTAAAAACCTGCGATGTGCCATGTAAGAACTCTTGCTGCCCTTTGATAGCCTTGTATAACCGGTTTCTATGTGGCAATCAGTGCAAGCAACTTCACCTGAAGTTGTGCATCCATGAAAATATCCTAAGCCGGGATAGTCTGATATGGTGGTTAATACTGCAGCACGCAGTTGGAAAAATTCACCCTTAGAAGCATCATAAGTCCTAATGCCTTCACGCCAAAGAGATTCCAAATCATCTATTAATGGTTCCATGTAGACATCCATATCATTACCAGGGGCAGTTGGACCAGGAATTAACAGTGATAGGATGAAATTAGGTTGTTTCATACACATCCAGGGTGGCACATTGTATGGAATTGCAATAACAGGCCAAGTACTATGGGTAGAATTCAAGGATATGAAGGGATTGAAGCCATCAGTAGCTAACGCTAATCTTATATTACGACTTTCATTACCAAAGGTAGGATGGACTGTGTCCAAGTGTTTCCAAGCTGGAGAATCTGCTGGATGTCTAAGCAATCCATCTTTTGTACGTCCTTCATCATGCCACCTCATATTTTTGGCCATCTCTGGGTTAATGTATAGTCTTTGAAGTCTTTCCTTAATTGGGAAATACCTAAGAACTTTTCTAGGAACTTTGTGGAAACGTTTTCCATCAAGACTCTTTCTTTCCATCTTCCATCGAGAAGTATTACATTTTGGGCAAGAAGTATAATTTTCATACTGTTTCCAAAATAATATGCAATCATTTTCACAAGCATGAATGTTAATGTAGCCAAAACCTAGAGATTTAACGGCCTTCTTTGCTTCATAAAAATTTTTAGGTAGTTCTGCACCTTCAGGAAATGCCTCTCTAAGTAAGTCCAGTAGCATGTCAAAGCTTTTATCACTCCATCCTCCTAGAAATTTTGTATGCAGCAAACAGACTAAGAAATTTAGTTTAGAGAAGGTCTTGCAACCAGGGTACAGCTCCTGACTTGCATCATCTACTAATCTATAAAAATCATCGACATCATTATTGGCATCCCCTGAACTGCCATCAGCAGCACCCCCCTCCCCCATTTGATCTAAACCATATGCCATATCTCTAAGCATTTCAGGAATTTCATCACGATCAACTGCCCTCTGTTCTACTTGAACTTGTTCATGTGTAGTGCAATGTGCAGAAGATGATGCTTCCCCATGAAAAATCCACAGCCGGTACCCATGCTTAAATCCATCACATATCAGGTGTTCAATTACAATGTTTGCTTCCAACCATGAACAATTAACACACTTCTTGCAAGGACACAGTATTTTATTTCCTTTTGCTGAATGAGTAAAAGCAAATTCTATGAAGTTATTGACACCACGTCTGTACTCAGTTGTGCTCCTGAAATACTATATTATTAGAGTTTGGACAAATGAAGATAGTGAGGCTAAACAATTCCATGCTAGTAATTGTGTGTTTGTACCTAGGCAGATCCATCCATCTCTTATCCATGCTTGCCTTTTATAATGAAATACTAAATGTCTGAATATAAAATGCAAATATTTGTTATGATACTGCAAAAACACAAATGGTTGCCATAGCTCTCAAGCTCAACAAGCATTCTAGTCATACATTCAAAAGGCAAAACATCGTGTAAAAAAAAACTAAAGTATGTAAAAGTAGTTAGTAAACCACATAGAAGTAAGAAAAACTGATGTCAAAGAGTAAGGGAAACACATGTACCTTTTAGTTGTGCGTTTGCTTGTTAATTTGTTCTGGTTTGCTTCCAACCTTGTTGGTGTCTCTGATTACTCAGCAAGACCTTCTACATTTTTGGATAATAAATACAAAATTTTAAATGCAACCTCTGCGATATATTTTGCTCTTGTGCAATGCAATTGAAAAATTAAATAATCTGAGTGACAATCCTCAGGTTCAGAAAAGAGCATCTGTATTTCTTTTTACTTAAGCCACTGAACATTTGTATTTTCAGATGAAATACCATAAACAAAATCAAGTAGTCACCCTGTTTATATGCAGTACAATGGGTTAGTTAGATACCATATCACTTAAGGTAAATTTTGTTAATTGTTAGCACAAATAAAAAGGCAGCTATACACCTAAATCCAGACAAAGAATGGATGCTCGCATTTGATGGTCTGCTGCTTTACTTACATAATTAGAGGAGCCCCCTAGTCATAAACTAATAAACAGAGAAGGAGTTCCACTTCCATACCTAGCTAAATATGTCAGGGAGGTCAAGTAGACAAGAATTAAGCAAATTCCACCATAACTACTGAAGATAGATCTGCAATGGAAAAGGTAGAAAATTGGTTATGCCAGGGTGAAATAAGCACACATGAGTAGTAACATCTCAGAAGGGATGGGACAACAACCAATTGGAAAAATATTCCTTTTACAAAGACAGTAAGAACCATCATCTATCATTTCTACCCCATTAGTAAAATTAAAAATCTTAGCACAAGACTGAACATAAAACAGAACTGTTGGTAAAATTTATTTTTACCAACAGACTGTGTGACAGGATATTTTCCGACAGACAAAGTGACATCTAAATTTTTTTCTACTGACAGACGACTGTCTTCTTTTTAGTGTTGTGGTGTAGTGTGTACTCACCGAGATAAAATTTCTTGACTTCAATCCAAATTCTCGATTACAGCAAGACGGGAGACTTAGTCGTACGCTCTGTACTTTCTCGGTCGACATCAAAGATTGACTTAGACAAACCCTTTCGGTACCCGCACGAGGCTGATAAAGGAAGTCTAACGTTATCTCTAAACTCACCGAGAACGGTCACGTGAGCTCGATAACAGTTCCTCCAAAGTCTGCGTATTGAGAATATGAACTCGTTTATTTGCATCGAAGTCGGGGGCTACTGTCAGGGTTATGGATACCACATACCTAATAGTAGTTGACTAAATCTCGGCAGGATCCACCACATACCATGTCTTATACGGAAACTGACCTCGAGGGAGTTCTGAATAAGGAAAGACAACCATAGTTCTACATGGAAACGACAAGGACTACTCGGATTATATCCATATTAGTTTCCCTAATTCTACTTGGACAAGTTGACACCTATGGGTATAAATACAAGCCCCCCTAGGAGGAGAGGGGAGACGAACAATTGACGATCAACACGATCAACACGGACAACACAGACGACCACCTCAATCAACACACCTACCACAATATACGGAACAACACAAGTCACAACATACAAGCCAACATACTCCAAGACAAGTCGCCAGATATCAACTTCAGGGATAGGCATGGCTATTCCCCTACGGTATCTCCGGATACTGTCAGGAGAGACGAAAGCGCTATCTCTAATCTCGCCGGACACGGATTCGAGGAGGAGGGCTACCTTGTTGTCGACTATGAGTCAGAACTTCATACCGCCATGTCGACAACAGTTAGATAGGCTACCCCACATATTGCACTGGTGTGATTATGGTGAATAAAAGCAATACCGGCTCCGGCCAACAGGATGTAGGGTTATTACCTGACAATTCAGGGGCCTGAACCTGTATAAAAATCCCTGTCTCCATCTCTTTTACCTCAGTCTCGTGTATATCCTAGCACCAACGATCCCCATACTGTCCAAATACCGTAGTCGTGACATCAAACGTCGACAAGATTAGCTATAGATGATTTGGAGCCATCAATGGGCTATACTATTAAACTTGCTCTCAAAAGGCGAGCAGCCTAGGAGGTAGTGCCGAGCCAAGGAGAGGGAGCGGAGCGGCCAGGCAAGGAATCGTCGGGGGAGGAGGTTGAGGAATCGCTGGGCAGGGGAGACGGCGCGGCTGAAACGGGCCTTGCGGCGCACGCGCACGCGTCGGGAGGTCTGTGAAGAGGGTGGGCGAAAGGTGGCGGGATGGCAGCGAGAAGTGGTGCAAGAGGAGGGCCACCCCGTGCATGCGCGTGGGCATGCGGCGCGGCCGAGACGTGCGCCTGTGTTCGGCGTGCAGTGTGACGCGTTGGCTCAGAGAAAACGATCGATGCTTTGGCTTGGAGTAGTGACAGGGAGAAAAACAATCTAATGGGCTTTTGGCACATGGATATGGGTCTCTCCGGGATGGCTCTATCGTTTCGCTCCGTGTCGCTTCAGCGTTGGTACGATAGGCAACATGGATGACCATCCAGAGCTGATCAAACGGCTGTAAATCAAGTAGATGGTGTGGCTTATCCACAGCTCAGTAAATTGATAATAACTGGACTAAGTAGGGATCACTTGTATAATATTATAGGATTCAAGGCGTGCTGGGTGCCTATATATGGTAGCGCCCTTACCAGCTCCCTGCTATGCCAATTGCTAATAAAGAATGAAGAATAGTACAACTCCAAAATATGTCAACAACCTTCAACACAATCTCTATTTTATTTGGAAGTTGGAACTAGTAGTATACTTGGTCGTTCCTCGGCCGTGTACATATTGATTATAGATCTAGAGGCCAGGTTTTAATCCCTTATTAAAAAATATATAGCAGGATATTTAACACTGTGTAGTTTTTGGAATTTATAGTTCTGTGATTCTGATCACTTCAACCAAAACTATTCACATAAACAATCTTTTGGGCACACGTTTTTTTTTCTTGTGGAAAAATTTGCCCAATAATACAATCCATTTCAAACTACTGAAGTAATATGACCAGAAACATGTTGACCTGGTCATCCCTGGAGCATGCCATACATGCATGGCAGTATTTCTAGACATGACAGGGCTTTCTTGGTAGCCACCTGCATGAGACACACAAGCAAGTCTGCATCAGACATCCGAGCTTGCTCTACTTATCCCTAATAAGGTGAAAGTGGAGACAACATTTAGCTCCATTTCACAATTTTCACTCAGGGAACTCCAGATGCCTCCAACTCCCAGTCATACATGCCACACTGGTGGAGAAACCATCTTTAGTCGGTCGACCAAAATCCACAATAGTCCCGGTTCCACTAAAAGCCGGGACTAAAGATCATCTTTAGTCCCGATTGGTGGCTACAGTGGGTATATTTGATCTTTAGTCCCAATTGGTAATAGATCATCTTTAGTCCTAGTTCGTATGTTGTCCGGGGCTGTCAGGCCCTCCCGTGATCTTTAGTCCCGGCTGGTAACATCAACCGGGAGTAAAGATCACCGTGATCTTTACTCCCGGTTGGTGTTACCAACCGGGACTAAAGTTAGGATTTTTAGTCCCGGTTGTTAAACAACCGGTAAAACAAAGCCTCTATCCACGGGTGCGTATGCAAGTCGCCTATTAATTCCATCCTTATCTCCTCCTCTCCCATCCAGCCATCCTCTCCATCTTATCTTCTTCTCTCCTCCTCTCCTCCCATCCTTCTCTTCCTTCTTCTCTCACCCCATCTCCTCCCCTTTCCTCCCCCTCCTCTCCTCCCTTCCCTTCCGGCAGGGCGGCGGAATGGAGGCCGCGGCGGCCCTGGGCGGGGCGACGGGATGGAGGCCGCCGCCGGCGGCCCGGCGCGGGGCGGCGAGATGGAGGCGACGGCGGGCTGCGTCGAGGGCGGCGGCGGTTGGCTACGTCGGGCAGGAGGCGGTGGCCGGCGCTGGTCGGGAGGGCGGCGGCCGGCTACGTCGGGCGCGGGGCGGCGAGATGGGGGCGGCTGGCGCCGGTCGAGAGGGCGGCAGCCAGCGCCGGGCGGGAGGTGGCGGCCGGCGCCGGACGGGAGGCGGCGGTCGGCTGCGTCGGGGGCGGCCGGCGCCGGTCGGGAGGCGGCGGCAGGCGGAGAATTTTTTTTTCTCTTCTCTGTGCTATCTGATGAATGCTGATTTCCTTTCTCTGTTCTCTGTGGTAAATGCTCTCTCTTTTCTCTGTGATGAATGCTCATTGTTCTGAAGATGTTGTAGATCTGAATAAGTGTAAAGAATATGGATGCTTTGTTGTTTGATTTTATTCATTTGATCTATGATTTAGGCTTTGTTGTTGATTTTATTCATTCGATCCACGAGCGAAAGCTAAAGAACAATCAAAAAAAGAAAAAAGGCCAACCGGATGAAAGGAAAAGAAAAAAAAAGAAAACCAAAACTTTTTAGTCCCGATTAGTAACAACAACCGGGACCATATTTTTAGTCTCGGTTGGTGTTACCAACCGGGACTATATATCGATCTTTAGTTCCGGTTATTTGAACCGGGACTAAAGATAACACCAACCAAGACTAAAAATTGATCCGGGACTAAAGATTGTGATCTTTAGTCCCAGATTCATAGTCCCGGTTAGAAAACCAGGATTACAAAGGGTTACCAACCGGGACTACAAAGCGTTTCTCCACCAGTGCCAGTATGCCACTAAAATGCATATGCATGGCAGTTCTCACTTGGCAACAGCTAGCTATCTACTGGTCGCAAGCGGCCATTGTTTTTATATGCCACTGATGAATGACATGTCACTTTTTTTATACTTGGTAGATATTGCATTTACTAGTTGGATACTTACTCCTTATTTATTTTGTTGCAAGAGACATTTACACCTTCTCTATTTGTGTTTAATTACAAACATTTGGAATAAAATAGATCTTCGTTACCAAAACTCTGCAGGTCCACGTTAGTATTGGCTAAATGCCTACGATTGTAAGATGAGTTAATTTTTTACGGTCACAACTATATGATTGCATCCTTCGCATTTTACAAGTGTTGACTAATTCGATTCCGTGCTCATTCTCCTATAAACAAATTTGAGGAAAAAGAAAGAATAAGCATGAATAGCCATGTACATACATCCGGGACTCTAGACTATATAAAAATGTGTCATGAACCCATAAGGCTAGGCCCATAGGCAGCCCATCCTAGTTAAATTTGAGATAGGATTATTAGTTAGAGAAAGGATAAGATTAAGTATTTTCTCGATTAAACAATGGATATCAACTAGTCTAATCTGTCTCTACTATTACTATTAATGTTATCATTACTGCTGTAAATATACACAAGACATACTAACAGTACCATTCTTCTTCCGAAAAATAATGTGTCCATGTGCATTTGGTAATGTTACTTGACCTTATTACTGATTAACCGGCTGTACCACTGTGCCTATAGCTAGAAGTTTGTTGTGATTAAGGCTAAGTTCTAAACTCCAACTCCAAACTGAAGCTTCCTCGATTTTCGTTAACACGTTTTTTTCTAACTAGTAAACAATGTGCTTTGCGCAAAAATTTTCTATATAGAAGTTTTTCTAGAAAATCAAAAAATATATTTTTCAAATTTATAATAGTCAATACCTAATTAATGATGTTTTCATGAGCCATCATGTTTTACGTGCTGCTAATATGCTCCTCCAATATGGAGATTCAAATAAGCCATAAGACTGCACGTCTGAAAATGTTTACCGATGTTAACTCAAAGCTAAGCAAAATTGTATAAACCACCCCAACGGAGTAGCTGCTATATATTAGGCCCATAGAAAGGAGTGCTATATAGCTGCTTTGTGTTTTCCTCATAGTACTATCTATCGAGACTGTGAGCACCGATGTTTCCTTTAGGGTTTGGAGGCATACGGGATATTTCTGTCATTGTTAACCAAACGTGTCGTAGTACACGCCCTGCCGTACGTTGGTTC